TGAGTGGGGTTGGGGGGCTGGGGGTGCCGTTATGGGGGGCTGAATCTGGAGGGGATGTGGGTGGGTAAGGGTGGGGGTGGAGTTATGTAAATTGGTAGGCGGGGTTATGCAAATGCAATAGGCACGTGTTTAGTGGGTGTGACTATGCTAATATGGGGTGAGGTCATGGAAATGTGTGTGGTGGGTGGGGTTATGCAAATGAATGCGGTAGGGGATGTGCACGTAGTGGGCGGGGCTATGCAAATGTGATGGCGCTATGCATACGCGGGACTGCGGGGTTGTGGGCGGGGCTAATGCTTGTGGGCGGGGTTATACAAATTGAAGGATGGGCTGCGGGGGGGGGGTGAAGGTGCATGGAGTGCGTGGAAGTTGGAGCTGCAGTTATGGGGAGCGGGCGGAGCCGAGTTTGTGGGGGGGGCTGGGGGCTTGATGGTGGACGTGACCCCCTCCCTTTTTGCCCCGCCCCCAGGGGAGCTGCGCCACATCCGGCACCTGCGGCCGTGGGGGCTGCGGGCGGTGCTGCAGGAGAAATACGAGTGGCCCCGCGGAGCCGCCGCCGCCTTCACGCGCTTCCTGCGCCCCATGCTGGCCTTCGAGCCGTCGCAGCGAGCCACGGCAGCTCAGTGCCTGCGGCACCCCTGGCTCCGCCCATAGCCCCGCCCACGGCCCCCCCCACCCCAAAATAAACGTGTGCAGCTCATGGAGACGACGATGATTTATTTTAATTGGGCACGCGTGGCTTCGCTGCCACACCTTCTGCTGGCCCCGCCCACAGAAGCAAGCCACGCCCACACGGTTCAGGCCCCGCCCACAAGGGCTCTGGCTCCACACTCGCCGTTTCAGCCCCGCCCACGGTTGTCACGTGGGCGGGCCACGCCACGCCCACACGGGGCGGGCCACGCCTACCCGGTCTGGCCCCGCCCACATGCCCATATTAGGCGTGGGGCAGGTGGCTGAGGATGCTCTGCACGGCGCCGGAAGTCGTTCCCTGCCCGCCGATGTCCGGGGTGTGCGTCTGTGGGCGGGGTCAAAGGGGGCGGAGCTCCGATTGGCCGCGCCCACCGGAAGGGGCGGTGCTGCATGGCGGGGGGGCGGGACTTACCCTGGGATCATCCAATGAGGCGAGAACGGCCTGGCGGATTGTGGAGGCGTGGTTGTGCAGCCTGGGTGGGGGAGGGGCAGGCAGAGGCCACGCCCACTGTTCAGCTCCCGTCATTGGCTCATGGCTGCAGGCTCCACCCCCTTCACCCAGCATCATCTCCAATGGCAGCCCAATGGCAAAGCCTCACCTGCCCAGCTTAAAACTCCCTAAGCCCCGCCCCTCGGTCATAGCACAACTCCCTCCTGCTAAGCCCCGCCCTCTTTGTCTTAGCCCCGCCCTCTTTATCTCTGCCCAACCCCTTTAGCCCCTCCCCTCCTCTTAGCCCCGCCCACCACCCAACCCGCCCGTCTAAGCCCTGCCCCACCTCACCGTGCCCATCTTCAGCCCCGCCCCCTTTCGGCCCTCCCCCAATATGGGCCCCTCCTCCTTTCCTAGCCCCGCCTACCACTCAGCCCCACCCCCTTTTACCCCCACATCT